CTAACACTGTCAGGTGACTCGGGTTGCTATGGACAACGTAAATAACAAATATTGGTTTAATGTTCACATAGATTCTTCAAAGTGTTGTAAGTACACAGTACTACATGTCAAAGGCGCTATATAAATATATATTATATTATTATTATTATTATTATTATTACATCCCGGTATACAATAAACAGATATTCATTTTCCAGCATGCAACCTCCCGAAGGGTCACAAACACGTGGAGAAAACAAACACAGAATCCGTTGTCTTCGGGACACTCAGACAACCAACCTACAGCTTGAAACACAAAACCAGTCAATAACTTCTTCCAAAATCAAATAGACTTAACTGGCTGGGAATGTCCATGGATGTTTTGCCTTTGTGTTTTCCAGAGTTGATTGTTGTATGGAGACAAAGACGATTGATAATGTTGACGTGGTTAAATAGGTACTTTACACTATGAATGTACTGTGTAAGGTTATGGATGTGTTAGTAACTATTATATAGGATATAGGCATCGGGACATAGTGAATCGACAAATACCATTATGTATGGAAACTCAGCTGATCGACAAGTACTGTTATGTACGGAAACTCAGCTGATCGACAAGTACCATTATGTACGGAAACTCCGTTTACAGACAAATACCTTCATGTAATAGAATTCATGAATTGACATTTTGGGTGGGAACAAACAAAGAATCCTTTTCTTTCGTCAAGGTTATTGCAGATTATGGAGGCAGACGCAATGCATGTGATAATCACAGTGTCGAGTGCAGGATGTACTTTTTTGGGGTAAATTAGCCGGGGAAAATATCTTTTTTTAGCACAAAGCAGGAACACATTATAGTTTCAGTTTTCGAAAAGTATTTCAGCCTCCGACTCACCATCAACCGCCCAGCATATCTCACGTCTGTAATGTTATTGACGTATTGCCGTCTAAAGTGAAACCTCTTTAAATAATATCATGTAATTCTATATCTTTTTAAGACGCTGGACGGTGCTTGTATCGAACAACGGTTAAGTCGATATATACTCATGCCAATAATGGTTGTCACCCCCTTCAATGTTTTTAATTGGAGATGGGGTGGGGATGTGAGGTGTGTGGGGGGTTAGGGTGGGGAGGTGGGTGACAACCATTATTGGTATGAGTATATATCAGTGTCCTCGGGTCTTTTAAAGGATCTGTTATGTTTAACCTACATAAATGGTGTTATTTTGGTGTTAATGATGTTGAATACATCATAATATCCCATTAGGGTGTTCAGGAGGTGGCATGCTTGACGATAGCTTCATGATGATGCTGAAAATATTGTTTAGTACGTGATGTTCTTCAGTAATATTACACTACACATCATGTAGTCTTAAGTTTAAAAAGGGGCGGTGGGGTAGCCCAGTGGTTAAAGCGTTCGCGCGTCACGATGATGGCCCGGGTTCGATTCCCAAGATGGGTACAATGAATGAAGCTCTTTTCTGGTGTCCCCCGCCGTGATATTGCTCAAGTATTGCTAATAAGGCGTAAAACTAAACTCACTCACTCACTTTGATTTAAATGTAGTCTTTGATTTAATTGTTATTTACAGTTAGTGTGTCAAAGGTATCTAATTGTGGCAATGGTGACGTGAACCCAATTCACTCACTCACTCCCTATTGGCAGTGTTCACGATTAGTTGAACTCATGTCCCCTGAAACAATTTGATATCCAAAATTCATATGATAAACAAATTACTTATATGGTGCGGTTCCAGTTCCACCACTTGCAGGCAATACAGCACTGCTGGAGAGGAACCCGGAGGTGTAATGGTCAATAACAGTCTTAATGCAATGTAACTGTTATTTGTTCCCGCAGGGAGAAAGACCTTTACTTTGCCAAGCTCCGGGTCATGTCGATCCTGTCTACATTAATAGAGTTATTGATACCTTTGGATCTACCGGTTTCATACTGCAAGTACAACATAAACGTTTATCGATAGAGAATAGCAATGCTATCGGACTCGATTATCTGTCAGGACAAATTATATGTAAAAACATCACTGTCAATTTAAAAGGACACCGGGTGTTAGGTAATGGTACAGCATCACTAACAGCCGTCAATCAGACAATTTGCTGAAACGTATCTTTCAGTCCTCCTGCCGTATGGCGTTACCCTTAAAACAATCGAATTTTGACAAATTTATTTAGAAACCATTTATTACACAGCTGAGTTCACGACAGGTGGACCAGACAATCCGATGACTCTATAGCGTCTTCGCTGATTGTGTTGCAACTGTAGCAGGAAATGGAGTCATCCCACAGATGACATCCTTACCTTGTCAGCTTGCTGACTGGAACTGAGCTTACGATGAGCTTCTAGTGGAACTTCGGTCCCCCAGAACATTGCTCCTGTTAAAGTAAACAAATGATCAACGTCAGAGGTGGATGGCCATGTTATGCCCCCTATTGTCGCATTGCGCTTCAGCGATCTTGTTTGTGCCATTCATTGAGAAATATGATATTATTTTGTGTACACTCTGATAAAATACGAACTGTGTAATTTATCACTGTTAGTGAGTTATGTTTATCACTAGCTTCACAGCTTAATACTGGAAGGAGGTAAGGTGAGGTGAAATTGGGTTTAAACGTCGCGCTGGAGAATATTTCGCTCATATGACGACGTGCATGTGTGTGTATGTGTAGGTGCGGCTGCTTGTACTAGCCCAGACTGAAGCTGGTTTTATAGTGCTAGCCCACTGAGATACCATGCCGCAGTGAAGCATGAATAACCCACTCAGACACATTATACTGACTCCAAGCCGACCTGTCCTTGTTTTACCCATTAATGCCGAGCTCCAGGCAGGGACCAACAAGTACCATATTTTGGTATGACGCGGTTGGGGATCGAACCCGCGACCTTCCGCTCTCTGGGCGGACGCTCTAACCACTACACCACGGAGGCGTCTAATACGGGATGGAAGCTAAGCACTGGACAGACTGTTCTATATTCCGTTTATCACTCAGCCCAAACATCTCCTGGCAGAGATATTCTCTGCGATTTACGGTTTCTGTGAGAACTGGTCCAGTCTTTATTCACAGAACAATTGAGAAGCTGAACTTCATGAATCCTCCTAAAGCAATTTGCATGATAAATATACATCGCCAGGTTTCTATCAACATTCACATACGTTGATGGCAATGACATATTATATTTATTTCGAGTTAACAATTTGAAAAATTAAATATAGCGAGCTACGGTAATAACGAACTCAAAGGAATACTAATTTTAGTTCGTTACATCTGTGGCTAGTTATATGCGTTAAAATATGAGTGCAAAGGAACCCATAAACAGTTCGTTTTATCCATCAGTTCGTTACAGGCGTATTCGGTATAAATGCAGCTACTCTACAGGCTACCATTTTTTACTTGTCTTTGAAAGAACTTACAAGTACAAAGTTAGTTCTGTGTCGAAACATAAAACATGTCGGTGTGAAAAATGCAGTTAATAGGTCTTCCGACCATCTCAGCGTGTTTAACATCGTTAATACAAGCGCTGATTGTTCATGAGGACATTGACGCCAGTTACGACATCGCTGTGTGGACATTATTCAGAGCAAGCGGAAACATGGCGTGGAGGAGAAAGCGGACCGTCTCGTCATAAATAAAACAGGCAAGCTTCGCTGATAATAATGCTGCTGAAATAAATATATACTCATGATGTATGCATTCGGAAATGGTTTTGTCGCTTCTATTTACTCAAAAGAGCAGTACACGCAAAAAGTGGTTGGAGAGCAACCAACCCTGATATAGTGATATTAATCACCTGTATCTGCATCAGATGTAGGGCGGTGGGGTAGCCTAGTGGTTAAAGCGTTCACTTGTCACGCCGGACACCCGGGTTCGATTCCCAACATGGGTACAATGTGTGAAGCCCTTTCCTGGTGTCCCCCGCCGTGATATTGCTGGAATATTGCTAAAAGCGGCGTTAAACTAAACTCACTCTTCCCTCACACATCTGATGTTACAATGATATGACAATGTAACAATCTAAATACCGAACAAATATATTTCATGAATGAAAGCGTTTGATTTGCGAATATTCATGATGAAAATATTAAGAGAAAATATACCGCAACTCATTGACATGAAACTGATAAACTGCACATCGAACTGTCAATACATGTGAAACTCGATTTCCACTGACGCAAACCGTATTAGAAAAACGGCATTTACATATTCTTGTGAAATATCAGGTATATATCATACCTGACCTTTATATGGCTGATGTCTTAAGACTGGCACAACAACGAAGGAAAATGTCAACATTGTTAGGTTGAATATATATACACGGACACATATACATACATATGATTCATCTTCTGCTGACCTTTTTCCGAAACCATTGTGTATTGACATGTTCTGATAAATTTGGAATTTATCAGTAAATACATGTAAGATTAGGATAAACTTTAAGGGTGAACAACTTTTTTTTTTATTCAGGTGATGTGATGTTTCGATGAGGGCTGCGCAATATAACCGGTTTAATTTACCGGTTCAGATATGAAAACGATACGTATTGCGATACGTTGATCGAAAACCGGAATTTTGACATGCATTCGGAAAACTTCGTAACATTCGGAAATTTTCGGATATTTCCGTTTTTTAAATTGTTGGTTTCCTTGTTTCTTTTGTGCCAAATATTATTTACATTTTTATTTTGTCATGATTGAAAGTTTTCATCAAAGCTTAATCAAGCATAGTGATTTTTTGTGTTTTTGCTTTAAAAATCAAGCATTAACTCGATTATAAGTAGTTTGGGTTTTTTTTAAAAACACTTCTTGCAATATATTGCAATACATATCGCAATATATGCTTTTGCATCGCAATATATCGCAATATGAAAATTCTCTGCAATACCCACCCCTAGTTTCGATACAAATTGGTGTATCGTTGTCAAGCCGTCCTTTTCTGACTCTCCAACTTCTAAAAAGGGCACTCAAAGAAGTAAATAAATAATAAATTAATTATTTTCGGTTCCAGGTACATCTACGATATGGACATCGAAGGGTTTCCTGTACATCAAAGGTTATCGTCTCCTGCACTGAGAACACTGTGAGTAATTATTAGAATTTTTTGTAACTGAACTGAACACACTCAGATCGCTCACAGCGACATTACAGGTGCAGTTGAAGGTCTGATCTTGTTGAAAGTTGTGTACATGAAAACTACATTCCGGTGTTGTTAAAATCTCTCACAGGTTCTTGGATCACGTAAAGAACACAACTGAGAATTTGTACAAACTTCCTTTTCAGACAGATAACTAAGCTGGTTTTCTTAATGCCTCTATCCTTTGTCCATAAAAAGTACATTTCCTAAAATTCTATACACGTAACCTTTGGAAGATTTAACTCACTCATATATCCCCTTGGATTGTCAATCACATTAAAAATGACACATACTGCAAGATAATATGTTTTCCCATATAACTTCCTAGCACAGACAGATACTATTTTCAATTTGACTTCGTAAGAGATATGATCTCCAAGTTCTGCAAATGCCATAACATTTGGAGTACACTTTCTCAGTGAAACAAGGTGTTTAGTAAAGGAAGGGAATATTTCTTTAACCGAAAGGTTTTCACACACCGGTATTTGGCAAGCATACAGAATTGGTATAGCTACGGCGTCAATAAGGCGCAGCGGGCGACCAATTGACATCCAATATCCGTTCGTTGCATACGATGTATTCTACCATGAATCAAGAAAATACTAGATTCTGATTGGCTGTTCAGAAAAATCAGACGGCATCAATTGTGGATTGACGCTCATCTGATTGTAAGGCCGCTTCACCGCGCATTAACAAATCTTATTGTGAGAACTACTTCCGTTTGACCACAATGATGGCGGATCATAACAACAACTTCATGGATTTTGACGCTGACTTTCGAATTTTCCACATAGGCAATTGGAAATTTTTGGAATAAAAATGCGTTTGATTTCATTGCGCTTCACTGCGCACGTATAGAACACTGCCGCACTACTTCAGCTTGACCACCAACATGACTAATATCAACACAACAGACGTGATGGAAATGCTGATAAAACATTTATTTAAACTCGAAAAATATAATTATTATATAAATATGCAGCAAAACTTTAGTAAACATTTACCTACCTGGTAAATGGTATATTTAATTCCATTAGAATGGGAAATTTGCAAGATAGATCTAACGGTCTGGCAAAACACCACATTTATGCCACTCATAGTCATACTCCATCATATCCCGTTGCATCGTTCACAAAATAATTCTGTTGTCTGCCAACTTTCCCGAAAGGTGGTCACTGTCATGTTCATCTACTTTGAAAAACGCTTGGACACAGTCTAGTCCCAAACGATGAAAACAAAGTTCCAAGGAATCACAAGTTAGTCGCATGTATACTAAGCAGCAGCACTGTCACGCTTTTGTCGCATGGCGGGGGTGGAAGCAGTACGTGAAATCATTATCGGCCGGTCATAAAAATCAACAGTCTTTGGTGAGTTACAGGTCGTAGGTTGATCAGGAAAGGATCTCTTGTTCGATTCTGCAGGGTTCAGATTCAACAGTCAGTCAAGTATTGTCCACTGTCACTTCAAATTGCAACCTTTCGCAAAATGTAAACACTGGCTCGTCCGCCATGTCAAACTGTTGCGTAACTGTCTACTTCGAAGAAAATAAGTAGGTCAGACGATTCCATTATAGTGAGGCCAGGGGGGTACAGTTTCACGGCACACAAAACAATAGGCTGGTTTTAGTCGTGTGGAGTTGGAATGAAAAAACCCACAAGATCTCGGGTATTACATAATTGCATTGAATAAACAGTAGTTTGATTTCTTTGGACAGAATATTGTTATGTGGTAATGTTAAAAAAAATACGAACGGCATCTACCGCTCCCTTCACAGACGAGTTCAATTCGCCTCTCGTCCCATGCCGGATTACGCAGTGTCTTCCGCAGAGCGAGGAAGTTCGATTTTAAATGGGTCATGGTAGAATGGAGATAACCCTAGTGTGTTTGAAAATCAGAGACATGCTTTACTGAATTGATGGCGACTCGTGAGGTTTCAATTGTAATATTTAGTCGCCATCAATTCAGTAAAGCATGTCTCTGATTTTCAAACACACTAGGTTTATCTCCTAAATACATTAGTGTTTTGTTCTGATTAACTTAACCTCGTACTAGGAAAATTGAATGGGCGGTGGGGTAGCCTAGTCGTTAAAGGGATCCCTTGTCACGGAAAATATTAGGGTTCGATTCCCGCATGGATACAATGTGTGAGGCCCATTTCTGGTGTCCCCCGCCGTGATATTGCTGGAATTTTGCTTTTGCCTCAAACCAAACTCACTCACTCACACATTGTTGTTGTTTTGACTCAGGCTAGAAGTATTGATTTTCGCAAGATAACGCCAAGTTATTTAAAGGGCTAAATTTCTCTTTTATTTAAGGTATTTTGTAATTCTTTTACATTTGAACTCAACAGCACTGCACCATCTCCATACAATAATACAATCATAGTTAGGAAGTTTTCTATTCTTTCAAAATAGTTTGGTTTAACAGCATCAGTGTGTATGAAAACACAGAAATAAAGTTTATGATGGAAAACATTCAAATTGAAATATGAACATGACGCGTATGAAATATTGCTATCGGATATCCACGAGATTATACCTGGGCAATCCATAAAATTCAAACCTAATCTGTTTTAGATTGTTTCGTCAACAAAAGATATGAATATTACACAGAACGATTAATCACAAAACGTACTAATGAAAACAGGGATGATCATTTAGAAGTCATTTGAACTCACTTACACCAAAACAATCGACTAAATGTATTACGTGATAATAACACATGCCATTATGGTGCTTTAATAAAATAATTACTTAAGCGCTGCAGTTTTTTAAAAATAGATATCTGTCCCGAAATTGCTGAAACAGTCTCTCTCTCTCTCTCTCTCTCTCTCTCTCTCTCTCTCTCTCTCTCTCTCTCTCTCTCTCTCTCTCTCTCTCTCTCTCTCTCTCTCTCTCTCTCTCTCTCTCTCTCTCTCTCTCTCTCTCTCTCTCTCTCTCTCTTTCTTTCTTTCTTTCTTTCTTTGAAATCTGACCTGTAGAGAATATTCCCAACAAAGCTTGCAATTTTGTTGCAAAGCAAAATTGGTCCACCTCTCATCTTTACCGTCACCCAGGTAATCTCTCTATTAACGGGCTGATGGATATTAAGCTCTGAGCGTCGCACGGAAGCTGAGTAATAGTGAAATCCTTCGTTGTGGGTATTTCACGATGTCGTAGACGTTGATCCACAAAAACACAAGTCGCTTGAGCAAACAATTTTACAGTGACATGTGAGTAATATTTGCAAGGGTATGTGACCTTTGTAGATGAGCAAACATGATGAACGTGCATTAGCAGACAACACAATCCCAAGGCCACCCATAGAGATACGCTAAAGACGGATGCCAATTAATATATAAGCGTAAAAACTTGAGGAGGAACGTTAAAGCTTGGCCTTGAAGACGACCCTGTCCCTAAAAGCTCGTATGTCATCCACACCAGAAATGACCCAGACTGATCCATAATCTGCAATATCGTGATGATTTTCCAGCAGATAACTGAGTCGTATGTTGCTCGTTATAGGCATTTCCCAGGGGAGAGTATATTATTTTGTCACAGAAACTTGGCAATTATTAAATTTCCCAAATATTAAAAAACGCACCAAGCAACACATGTCACGTGGTAATCTAGCTCTGTTTGAATCTGATCCAGAAAGTTCTTGCAATGATCTGTGACTATGGATTATAGGTGGGTTCACTCCTTCTACCCTGAGTCAAAACAATAACAAGGGCATTTGTAATGCGCTGAATTCCGCACTACGGAGGGGCACGCTCAAATCTCTACAATATCACTCCGGATAACAAAGCTGCCCGTGAGGCGCTAGAAGGTTAATAATCACATGACTTATCCCATCGGGTACCTATTTTCTGCTGGGTGAACAGAGACAATTTTTGAACAAACTCACTTGCCTAAGGTGAGAACACATGTACCACATGTGCTTCGTTGTGGGGCAGGACTGAAGTCGTAGAAACCCATGAGTCAAGCTGTCACACGGTCACCCATCCAAGATCTCTCCGCGCCCATCGTTGATGAACTTTAACTGATTTGTAACCGGAGCTCTACACCCAGGGACCACACACCTCCACAATGAAAGCAGTGGTTACAACTGCACTAAAGAAAGCAAAGATTGTCCCACCAGGTCGGAAGTAATTCCATCTGTGTTCCTGTATGTCGAGGATGTCACCAAGGTAGAAACAACAACGGAGCGTGTTATGGTGCACATTTGAGGCCAGTGCTGGATAAACAAGCTCAGGAAAGGTGTGTCCTTCCATCAAGAGAACACTCCAGTGCACAATTGAGTGCCATGGTCATAATCGACAATTGTGGCTGTGAATTCCTTCAGCGAACATCAAACTCTCAACATCTAGGCGTCAGATTTCGATCTGGTCCAAGACATGAACAAAGCTGTGGCGCGAAAACATTTTGACTCGAACAAAGTCAGTTTAAGGTTTCAGCAATCAAGAAGAGACCATCTGTTATATCCCAACATTAAGACGGTAGGGGATTATGTCGGAAAATAGATCAATTTAAGGCTTTTAGGTCAAATATTTCTCCTTGTGATTAATAATTTATCAGTCAGCCCTATTATGCTCAATTACTGAAATTCCTGTAAGGTCCAAGAATCATTTCACAATGAACTGTACTTGTCGAGTGCTGTATTTTTATCACAGTCGTTATTTGTAAATTGTGATCTTTCATGTGCATGGTCTCACAGACTTTCCAGGTTAATCTGCTGGAATTGGAGCGATCATTTCTCCAGGGAAGTTATTCTCAGTCCTTCATTGCTGTAAGGTTCCCGTGAGTGTATCGAGAACAATATCATTACAGCTTCATTTAGAGGGCACATATGGAGTACATTTGTGCTCTAAAATGGCAGTATTGAGGGAAAGAAGGATAGGTTCCAATACTCTTTTTAATTACGTTGTTTATCCCAGATCGTCTAGATGCCATCCGTAGAGAGTCTGC